ACCGAGTTAATTAACTATTCTAGTTAACTAATTATTACTAACCAAATTCGAATAACTAGTTAAACTAATTAATTATTTACAACACTTAATTAGCTACAAATAATTAATTACAACACATATTTGATCTATTGCTAATTAAACTAATGGTAATCCCGGGAAGCGGGGAGGCCCATGCATGCTTGATTTCCACCCGAAATGACACTGCCTTGCTGCTAAATGCCTCTATTTGCACATATGAACACCAACAAAGTTGCCTACTTCCAAAACACCTCTGCTCCACCATTCCAACACACTGTGCAAATTTCATTGGTGGTCGACAGGGGGCTTGTCGGCTACCAATGGTGGCCGGTTGGTCACTGGTGGTGGTTGTCGGCCACTGCTGGTTTGAACTTCCTTACTGCAACAGAGAGCAAAACAGTGTATTTCTCAAGAGTTGTTTGCACACTTTGCCTCTCATTTTCATGGGGAAATCAAAGGAGGGACAAACTTTAGTTCACAAACCATCAATCAGGCAATTTCATTGCATGATAGCTCGTGAAACCAATTGTGCAAGTTTAATAAATGCAAAATGAGACCAAAATGACCATCACCCTATCATGCATGATCAAGGGCAATGGAGACCAAGGAAAGTGGCACATTTTATCACTTTTGAGTATGAAATGTTCCATTTTTCTTGTGTTCAAACTAACATCCGATTTGAACACATACAATGCAACATAAAGAATGCTTATCTTGCTTCTTTTACTTGCCAATTTTGTTTACTCATTTTAATTACCAAATCATTCATTAATCCATTAAGTCCATTGGTGAGTGTTCTTTAATGGAAAGAGGGTTCAAACCCCAAGTTGCTTTGGGCATGAAAGAGGCATTACACTGTTGGTAATGAACCCCCTAAGGGATTAAACCATTAGGTGTAGCACCTCCATTTCACACTTAGGCAAACAAGTGGTTTGAAACCATTTTCAAAACAAAACCAAAAAGTGAAGAAATAAGGGAGATTGTAGAGTTTATAAGTGCTGAAATTAAGTGGAAAAAACACTAGAACATGCAACCAACTCAAGTCAATGATAATTAAAGCCTTAAAACACTAAGCTAGTGAAGGAATTAACACTACAACCATGCCATACAAGGCTCAAACAAACTAACCAGCTCAAAAAAAAGCTAAAACGGGTTATTTTAGAGACTAAAACATGTTGGACTTGCGCCAAGTTAAGCTAGAAAAACATGCTAACATGTGAAGCTAATTAGGCATGCAAACAAGACACAAGGAGGGGAGGCTAACCCCTCCAATTTTGGACTTCAAAATGAGTTTTTCGCCACTGAAAAACCTCTAAAATTCAATGGTTAAAATGCCCAAAAAAGTTAATTTGAAAGTGATGAAAAAAGGCACAAAAGCTTTACAAACTAATAAGCAAGAAAAGTGAACTACTTCCTAACCAAAAAGAGGCCCAAACAGCACTTTTAGGCTACAAAAACAGAGTTTTTATAGTTCAAAATCAGCCCAAAAACAGTAAGAAAAGATGGTAAAACAAGCTTGCAAAACAAAGTAAACAAGGCAAGTAAACTACCTCTTGAAGCAAATGGCAGTTCTAAGCACAAAACCAAGCTAAAACCATCTTCAAGAGCTCTAAGAAGACCCTAAGTAACCTCAGCTCAGAGGTAAGAGGATTTGATTTAGGATGTGTATGCAAATGTATAGAGAAAACAAGCACTTAGGCACAAAATTGTAAGAGAGAGAGAAATCTAGAGAGAGACAGAGAGAGATTTTTGCTTTGAATTTTCTAACCCTCAAAAATGGGGGAGGAACCCCCTATATATAGAAAAACATGCCTTGAGCTTAGAAACATCCTACGATACACGTGTAGAGCAGCTCAATGTGCTAACAGTTGGCACAACTGTCAACAAATATCTAGAAAAAGAGACTGGTGGCTGTCAGAAAATAGACTGGTGGCCGTCGGCCACCACTGGTAGCCGTCTGGCCACACCAGTGGCCGACAAGCACAAGCCATGGCCGACAGCCTCTGGTGGTGGCCAACAGGTCACCACAAGGTTCCAGGCACCAAGTTTTGATCCAAAACAAGGGACAAAAAGGACAAGGTCTAAAGGCTCAAAGACAGGGCGTTCCGCCGAGGACTTCAGGCGCTCAAAACGAACACAAACAAACATAATCATCATATGCATAAGTGATGACATCCCAGTCTTGAGGACAATAAAAAATGGGGTGCCTATAGTTGCCCCTCTTTGACAGGACTCGGAAGTCACAGAATGACGGAAGTGAATGTCAAAGCCCAGAGACGACTCATTTTTGACAAGGCCGAAGACTTGGACAAACAAACAAGCAAGACAAAAACGGTTGCGCCCGCAGGCTGCCTACGTATCTCTTTACAAGGAATCAAACCAGCGTAATTCTAGGGCAAGATGCAAGTGATATGCATGATGCAAGAACATAACTTATGATCATGTAATGAGGTTGTAATGAAACATTTAAATGCAAACGCTATGCAAGGAAAATGCCATATTCAAACCGAAACAAGGTAAATCAACCTCAAACACAAAAGTAAGTAAACACGCCACACGTGGGAATTACAAACCAAACCACATTTCATATAGAAAGGATGTAGGAAAATTATGCAAGCTTAACTACGCGATGTGCAGGAAAGACGAAGAGCAACAAAATCATCAGGTGTACCCGAGATGTCAAACAAGATCCTAACGCGTTGCACGCGGAAGAAAACAAGGATGGTGTGAACACCGGGATGCACCTGCATGTTTTTAACCGAAGGACGGTAACCGAAGGATGATATAAACATCAGGACGCACGTAAATGTTTTTAATAAAAGGAAAGTAATCGAACGATGGTATGAACATCAAGACGCACACAAATGTTTAACCGAAGGAAGGTAACCGAAGGGTGGTATGAACATCGGGATGCACACAAATGTTTTTAACCGAAGGAAGGTAACCAAAGAGTTGTATGAACATCAGGATGCACACAAATGTTTTTAACCGAAGGAAGGTAACCAAAAGGTGGTATGAATATCAGGATGCACACAAATGTTTTTAACCGAAGGATGGTATGAACATCAGGACGCACACAAATGTTTTTAACCGAAGGGTGGTAACCGAAGGAGTGGTATGAACATCAGGACGCACACAAATGTTTTTAATCGAAGGAAGGTAACCGAAGGGTTGTATGAACATTAGGACGCACATAAATGTTTTTAACCGAAGGAAGGTAACGAAAGAGTGGTATGAACATTAGGACACACACAAATGTTTTTAACCAAAGGAAGGTAACCGAAGGATGGTGTGAACATCAAGACGCACACAAATGTTTTAAACCAAAGGATGGTAACCGAAAGATGGTATGAACATCAGGACGCACACAAATGTTTTTAACCAAATGATGGTAACCGAAAGATGGTATGAACATCAGGACGCACACAAATGTTTTTAACCAAATGAAGGTAACCGAAGGGTGGTAATCCTAACGCGTCTCACGTGCAAGGAGAAGGAGTAAAAGGATGTGATTCGAAGGACATGAATGACTTCACCCAAAACCCCTCTGAACAGACCGTGCATATAGGCCAAGTTTGGGAACACCCCAAAAAGCCAAAAAGCCAAAAAGTTACTCAAAAAGTTAAAAAGTTATCACTATTCACCAAAACTCAACAATTACGGCTGCACAACTCCCAATTCTAATTTTCTCCTACAAATCAATTTTTATAATTTTTTATTACACATTTTTTCATAAAAAGTCAAAAAGTTAACCCAAACATTCATATTTTCAACCTCAACTTTTTAGTCTAAAAAGACAAAAAGTGCACTTATTTAGTCTTCCCAAACTTGGCCATAGTATCATTGATTGCACTAGCTCTGCTGAATGAATCGTACATGCAATGTCGTGTCTGCGCAAGAAAACTCAACAAGTACAACATATTTAAGGTGCATGTTCTATGTAAAGTAAACAATTGAGGCTCAATGCTACATGAATGCGTGTTCTACGTAAAGTATTGAATACTTGTTCTATGCTAAGTACAAAATGCATGCTCCATGTGCGATTAACATCATGTTCCATGCTGAATAACAAAATGCATGTTCTATGCTAAGTACAAAATGCATGCTCCATGTGCAATTAACAGCATGTTCCATGCTAAATAACAAAATGCAAGTTCTATGCAAAGGATTGAAATACGTATTTTGTACAATAGCATATGTAAAATGCACGTTCTACATATGTAGTGAGGGAATGCATATGTATTCTAACAAAACCAAGTTCAATAGCAACTTTCCGATCCACATCTCGGAAGAGTTGCAACATGCCAAAAGGATACACGTCGTTTAACAAGTGACGAACAACGATCACCGAAAACACAATTTCGAGCTTTCGCAAAGAGAATTTGAACTCAACAGTGACCTCCCCTTGCACCTCTCGGGAAACAAGGACAACAACAACATCAAGACACAAAATAGAAGCATTAGGCACTGGACGGCCACCAGGGAGGGATGTCGGCCACCTGTCGGCCACCCCTAAGAACTGTCGGCCACCAATGGGACCTGTTGGCCAACAGTGGTGGTCGATCGGCCACTGATGGTAGATTGGGCCATTTTGGTCTTTTTACCCATAGATCTTTAAGTATAGGTCATGGGACCTCATTTCCATACACCTCTATGCCCAAAATTCCACCCTCTTTCTCTCTAGACTTTCCTTCTCTCTAGATCCGAGCTTTATACGCGTTTTCCAACACCCCACACATATTTTCTTCGCTAAACCCTCTTAGTTTACTCCATTTTGAACCAATTGAAATTTGATTTCGACACTTTTTCTTGGAGTTTCATTAATTGAGGCTTGTTCCCCTCGAGTTTCTCTCGAGTTTCGTGCCTTATTTTGAGCTTTGACTTTTTCTTCCATTTTCTCTTTCCTAGGGTTGACTTTTTCAAAATTTACCCCATTTTCTCCACTTTCTTCACTTTTCATTGACTCTTCACCCATATTCCAGATGGCAAACGACATACCACATGATGGAGCTCCTCCAAAGGCAGAGTTTGATTCTGAGGCGGAGCTGGAGCCATTACCACTAGAAGTGAGGCCTTTCGATCCGGTGGGGTATCGTCCTTGGACTCATATTCTGCCTGCTGGAGGCATTAGGCACTTCACTGATTTTGCTACTGACGTGCCAGAGGATCGCCTACTGAAGGAGCCAGATTCCCATCTTTTAGCCGTTGCCATTGAGGTACAAACTCTATTCACTAGCACATTTAATGTTCTTTACTTGCATTTCTTGCATTCTCTCATCTGACTGTACTACTTTCATCACTGGCACCGTATTTGTTTTGCACTTTCTTTTTCATCTAACTATATTTATACTGGTTCACCTATCTTCTGCCACAGGGTGACTCTCGCACATACAGGGGCTATGGGGCCATGACGGCCAGAGATTGGTATGACGAGCTCTCCGTAGGAGTGCACGACATTGTTGACGAGGCCGGCTACGGCCTATTCTGCTCTGGATTGACACAAGTTATAGTGAGCCGTCCACTTCTTGGAGCGTTAGTGGAGAGATGGTGGGACACCACTAACTCTCTCCACATTTTCACTGCCAGAGAGTTGACGATGACTCCTTATGACTTCGCCATGATCACAAGCCTAGGTGTAGGGGCGATTTGATTCCTCTCAATCTTGACATGGGGGAGTGGGAGGCTGCTTGGATTGAGCTACTGGGGGCACGCCCACCTTTGTTCCGGACAGCTATGGTCAGATACAGTTGGTTTGAGGAGCAGTTCAGGGGGACTGAGCCAGAGACGGTAGATGAGATAAAGCAGTACATTCGGGGTTTTCTGATGTTCCTCCTCGGTACCACCATTTTTTTGAACACGGCGAACACCGTAGGATTGTACTTACTGAGGCCGACCCCGCCCCAACTATGATGTTTCTATGATTGGGACGGGGCCGGCCTCGCGGCTATATGAGCTCGACCTCCCGCGGGAGTGGACACTTGATCAGAGTCTACTAGCGAGCTTGGGAGGTACACATCTCAGTTCCTTCTTTACACTTTGCATTTTCTGTTCAACATTTCTTGCTTTACATCTGTTCAACACATGTACTTTCTGGTTTGCATTTTCTATATCTGTTCAAACACTCGATGCTTTCTGCTTTGCATTTTCTATATTTGTTCAAACACTATACACTGATCACATATCACTGCACTTTCTCCATAGCTATGGGTGTACGCATACTTCTCGACTCTTGCTGCAGAGCCTGTACTGGAGGTTCCGTTGACGGTTTTCTATTTGCGGGTGTACGATGGTCCGCTTCGCTGCAGGACTCGCAAGCCCTTCACTTTTTTCAAACATCACTTTGACATCGTAGCTACCCATGAGGTAACCTAAAACACAGTCATCATTTTTGCTCTACATTTGTTCTGATTCACATATTAGCAACTAACGACGGCTAATAATCTATTCATCTTCTATTTGTAGATCACGTGGTAGCCATGGGCCACGATATCGACAGGGGTTCGAGGCCGGTACACTGTGGCCTTGGGCATCTCGTGCTACCGTATTCTACTTGAGGTCTGGTTTGCTGAGCCTAGTACCTAGGCGAGAGAGTCGTGCGTCAGTCTTTGGGTCTGCCTGCTCCGTTCATAGCGATGACGTTGCCAGAATCCATGAGGTCAGCAGACAACCTATATGTTGATGGGGTTATCCAGTTCATGGTGGGCTTGGAGGTAGAGTACTTCCGAGTCGAGGGCGATTATACGGTCTTCATTCAGACACACCTTATGCCACCTCTAGCCCCTACTACGAGGGCGGGGCCTAGAGCAACCAGGGCAGCCAGGGCCTATGGGAGAGGGGCTCTTCAGGCGAGGCAGAGGACCAGCTGGCCGGAGCTGCTTACTGCTCTCACCTGTTGGTGGTATACTAGGGAGGCATATCAGATTTCAATTGAGCCTGCTGCAGCGGGGCATAGATATGTCAGAGCTCATGACGTACCCCCGGTTTGCACCACATTTTTTAGTTTTCTCATCTCTTTATGATATTTGTTTCTTTTGGACACTGATCATTCCTAATTCATTTGCAGGCACCCCCAGGATACACCGAGGATCTGCTGGAGCTATTAGTCTCATTCGAGGGCATGATATTGAGGAGAGAGGTACTATTTGGCTTCCGCGGCATTTAGGTAATTTCTTCAGTTTTCTTTCATTCCAGTCATCAAATTTTTGTTGATACATTGAAACTGACATGAGAACTTCCCCATACTGCACTGATACACTACATCTAAAATACTGCACTTCCATACTGTATTCATACTCTGTACCTGACTTCAGCATATACTCATTCTCCCCCATGCTTACATCTGATACGTATGTTGTGGCTGACATATGACAACTGTCTTTTCAAGTCCCACCCATACCGGGTGCACCAGCAGGAGTAGCAGTAGGACCAGCAGTGCCTCTTGCAACATGGAGAGAGAGACAGGCTCCAGCATGCAGCCGAGGCTGAGCTAGGGGCACCTGAGCTGAGAGTGGCCCTTTAGAGCCCATTCTGAGCGATGATGAGGCTGAGACTAGCAAGGTCGAAGAGTCAGCATGCTGAGTCATCTGAGAGTGGAGACGATGACGCTGACTCGGGTTCTGAGAGTAGGAGCGCTGATGCTGAGGAGGGCTCCGAGGCAGAGAGTGGAGATGGCTCTGGTTCAGACTCTGATTCTGGTTCAGACAGTGGCGCCGATGGAGACAGTACTGCAGAGTCCTCTCCTCCGAGGAAGAGGACGAAGAGGGCCTCTTGAGCTTAAGGCGACCAGCGCTGATTTTTTGTAGTTTTTGCTTAGTTTCTTTTTGTTAATAGTGTCAGCACATTGTACAGCTTCAGATATGTTTTATTTTTTTAAAAAACTTGTACTGCACCTTTTATAAAAACAACCATGATCAGAATGAAAATCAGGTTTTTCATTTGAAAAAGTGTTGTATTTTGCATCATGAGCACCGCATCGCATAAAGATGAGATTGAATTTGATAATGAAATGTGAACACTTGCATTGCCACAACAGTCTGAATCAAGTAACGAACCGACCAACAACTGAAATACAAACAAAGCACTATACAACTCGATAAGCAAAAATAACTCGATAAACAATAAAACAACTTGAATACAACTCAATGAGCAAAACAAGACAAATAAAACTCAATAAAGAAAACAAAACAAACAGACTTCAACAAGCATGCTAAGGCTTGAAAAGACTCAAAACAATACTCCAAAACACACAAAGAACATAACAAGGCTCATGCTACCATCACTTTCCAGCACAAGAAGGACAGCAGGCTAGAGTGGGAGGATGTCGACCATGAATAAAGGCTGTTGGCCATCAGTGGCGGCCGGTCGGCCACCAAAGTGGTATGTTGGCCATCACCAATGGCCGGTCGGTCATCAATGCGAGGAACCTCTAGAATGTTGACACCTGGCTTCCACTCACTGCCTTATCTTCTACAAAAGGTTTGGACCTCGTAGTTTCTTCATTTCAGCTGTGAATTCTTCACAAATGGAGCCATTCTTTGTCGAAAAACTCTTTGGATTGCAACTTTAGATGGCTCAAAAAAGCTGAATTTCCGGGTTTCAGCATAAACGCATTATTCCCGCTGAGTCGTTCTCCGCTTTGTTTTTCGTTTCTTCACGCTGCGGCTAGATGTTGGAACCCGATTACACACGTCTTTAGCTTCGGGAGACAAGAGATATGCCCGACAATCGAAGAATTTCAATGCTAATGGAGTCCCAGTGTGATGAGGAAATCTTGCCTCAGCCTCGTTTTGGTCACATCCAAGCTTTGGGAAGCATGTGTGGGCTCACTTTGCATGAGGCTCGTTCATTGGTTCACAACGGAGAGCTGGACATCCCTAATTTGATTCATCGATTTTTTGACACCGATGATCGAGGTGATCTTCTTTGGCGGGGTTTTCGACAACACGCCCTCTGTTTGTGTATGCTAACACACTTTCTTCTTGCCCCTAGTTTCAGCGGGTCTAGAATTCGGCTAGTTGAAGTAGCCTAAGGTTTGAAAGAGGGCAATACTTGCATTGATTTGGCGTTGGCCGAGACTTTGATGGACTTAGATGCCTTTCATCGATGAGAGACAACCAAATTAGCGGGAAGTCCACTACTTCTACAGGTAATGCTTCCCACCCTTTCTAATATGTGTTTCTCACATCTCTCGGCACTCATGCTCTGTTTTTCTCTCAAAGCCCTTTTCTCACTTTTTTCCTCAACACACACCTCTTTATTCTTTGATCTCTCTTTTCTTTCATCCCTCCCTAGATATGGGTCATGGATAGGTTAAAGGTAGTGAATTCTTGCCCTGCATATTCAACTCGAGGCTATTTCTTTCGCCAACGGCTAGTGGATTTCCCGAACGAGGGGTGGTGGTGCCATTGGCTGTGCAACAGATCTGCTGTTGACATTGCTTGGCATTGCCCTTGGTTTGATCTACCCGAGATGAGCTACAACATGGCTTGATAACCAGACATTCAGCTGATTGGCTTGAAACACTCTGTATTCTATTTTTCGTTCTGGTTCAGGCATCAGTTTGGACACGACCAGACTTGCCCAGAAGAGGGGGTAGAGTACCCGGCTTCATTCCCAATCCGAGGTTCACAATTGGCTCGATATCCCACTGCATGAAGGACGAGAGAGCTTTTGGCTCTTGCCCTTAGTTTTAACTGTGCACTTTCTGGCCAGTGCTTGACTTGGCTTGAAGATGAGGCGCAATCCAAGCCCACTTTAGCATCAGAAGCTTCCACAAGCACAAGCGGGGGACGCAGGAACACCTGACTTAGCTATGCCCCAAGTTTATTGCTTTGATCTTACTTTTCAAGTTTTATGCATGTAATAAAAAGTAACTTTGATTTGTATCAAGAGTTGGAGAACTTTGTATTGAAATCAATGAAATTGAAGTTGTGGGCACTGAAAATTTTCCTTTTGGTCCAAAAATGGTCTAAGTTGTAAAAAGATTAATTTGAACAAAATCAACTTTTATTAAAACTTTTCAAAACCATTTTCGATAAGGATCACAACTTGACACATGGAATCTATCCTCGAGATGTACAAACCCCGAATCCAGAAATGAAAAATTCCCTTTGACTGAATAGCACTGCTCAGCACTGTAGTCAGCTCTTTCTTTTAGAGTAAGGATCACAACTGAACTTTCAAACAACAGACAGACAAGGATGCCTTGATCAAACATATGGACACAGTTGATTTGGAGGTGTTTACGGTCGAACTTCAGAATGAAGTTGCCTATGTATCCCGAAGATGGGAATCAAGCCTTACGTAGTTCGGTTCGGGTTCACTCGAGTATTAACTCTCTTTTTGCGCTCTAATTTTTTACAAGGCCGCCCTTTCTGGGTTTTCAACCTTGCGAGCTCAGTCTTTCTTTTTTCCAATTTTTTGCGCTCTAACTTTTGCCTATGTCGTCCTTCCGGGTTTTCAGCCTAACGAGCCTCTCAGGGGTAATATATCTTCAACTTGTCCATGTTGATTGGTTGGAAAAATTCTAGGCCATCCAGGTCCATGAGAATAACAGCTCCACCCGACCAAATAGTTTTGATAATATAAGGACCTGTCCAATTAGGTTTGAACTTGCCCCTAGGGTCATGGATGGGAGCTCGATTCTCTTTCAATACCAAATCCCTTTCCTTAAGATTCCGGGACTTAACTTTCTTGTCAAAAGCCCTGGCAATCCTACGTTGATAGCCTTGAACATGGTGCAGTGCTTTTAGCCTTCTCTCATCGAGCAACATCAGTTCTTTGAACCTGCTCTGCTGCAAGTCCGCTTCTGCTATCTGGCATTTAGCCATAACTCGCAGTGTCGGAACCTCTATTTCAATCGGCAGAACAACTTCCATCCTATAAACAAGAGAGTGCGGAGTTGCCCCAGTAGATGTCCAAATTGAAGTTCTATAGCCCTAGAGAGAAAATAACAATTTGTCTGGCCAGTCCCTGTAGGTCTCAATCATTTTCTGCAAAATGTGCTTGATATTCTTGTTGGCAGCCTCAACAGCTCTGTTGGTTTGCGGCCGATATGTAGATGACGTATGAAAAGCCATATTGTATTTTTTCAACAAGTCGATCACTTCTTTCTTGAAATAGGAGCCATTGCCTGAAATGATCTCATTTGGGACTCTATAACGAAAAATGATATTGTTTCGGATGAACTTAGCCACATGCGATGTTTTCAACACTGCATAAGACTGAGCTTCCACCCACTTCGTGAAATAATCAAATGTATTCGTGCCTATTTGACCCTTTCAGTGTAACTGCCCCAATGACGTCAATTCCTTAGATTGAAAAAGGCCATGGTGAAGTCATGTTGTACAGCTTCGACGGCAGGATATTCATGCGATTTGCATGGATTTGGCATTTGTGGCATTGCCGAACAAAATCAATACAATCCTCCTCCATGGTAGACCAGTAGTAACCTTGTTTGAGAATCTTCCGAGGTAACATTACCCCGCTCATGTGTGTTCCACACTCTCCCCCATGGCTGGCCTCCATTAGGCACTTCGATTCTTCTGCATCAACACACAACTTGTGCATTCCTAGATGACCTATTTTATACAATTTACCCTCGCAGATGATAAATTGAGTGGCCATTCACCGTATTGCCCTCTTATCTTTGGCATTCGCCCCCGGTGGATAAATCTCATTTTCCAAGAAGTTTCAGATATCATAATACTAGGGGTTTTGATCCTATACTTCATCTATTGTGGCGATAGTTTCGTAGGCCAACGTATATCTCTGCTCAATAATAATCGGACGCATCCGGACTTTTAATGGGATGTCTATCATAGAAGATAGAGTTGATAAAGCATCAACGAGCCTGTTGTTCTCTCTTAGTAGATGCGTGAAGGTCTATTTCTCAAACCTAGGAATTAGAACGTCCAAGGTCTGGTGATAGATCTTCATCTTTTCTTCTTTGACCTTCCAGTCTCCATTTGCTTGAGACACAACCAGATTCGAGTCCCCGATGACGTCCAAACCTTTTTGCCCTTAGTTCCAGGGCGGCTTCCAAACCAGCGATACACGCTTCGTATTCTGCTTCATTGTTAGATATCTTGAACCGAAGTTTGAAGGCTAAGGGTATATAGGAATTGCCGGGTGCTATCAGCAACACCCCTATCCCATGACTATATTGGTTAGATGCTCCGTCAAAGTACATTGTCCAAATCTTTTCCTCGATTTGCAAAATAGCTTCATTTGGGAACAGGTATTCTACCGTTTCATTCCTTTCCACTGAGTGATCTGCTAGGAACTCAGTTATCGCTCTCCTCTAACAGACTTGCGAGTGACATACTTCAAATCAAACTTGGAAAGGAAAAGCAACCAACGGGTTAGCCTATATGTAAGCGTTGGTTTCTCAAAGAGATATTTGATGGGATCTAATCTCGAGATTAGAATTATGGAGTGAGTTAACAAGTAGTGCCTCAACTTCCTGGCAGCCCATACCAAGGCTAAACAAGCCTCTTCTAACGGGGTGTAACGGGTCTTATAGTTCAGCATTTTCTTGCTCAAATAGTAGATGGCTTTCTCCACCCTATCCTCAGATTCCTGAGCAAGCATGCATCCCATTGTTGTGTCCATTATTGACAGATACAAAATCAAGGGCTTCTCTGGCTTTGGCGACAACAACACAGGCGGGTTTTGCAGGTATTGCTTGATTTGCTCAAAAGCGAACTAACATGGGTCATCCCATTAGAATTTCTTTCCTTTCTTTAAGAGACCAAATAGTGGTTCATAAGTCAAGGTTAATTTTGAAATAAATCGTTTTATGAATTGCACTTTACCCAGAAAGCCTAGTACCTTCTTTTCAGTCCTTGGTGGTAGCATTTCTAAGATGGCCTTGATTTTGGAAGGATCTACCTCGATGCCCCTCTATGTGATCAAGAAACCCAGCATTTTTCCTACTGTTACG